GTGCTACAGCGGTACCACATACCTGCAGACTGAAGAGATGGATGCTGCAAACCGGCAGCACATTTACAGAACCATTTTCCTTGGTAGTGTTGGACAGGGTAAGAATCACAGAATGGATGAGGTTGGAAGGGGCCTCGGGAGGTCATCTGATCCATAGCAAACATTAAGGGAAAAGATGAAAGTTTTCCAAACTGAACAGTATATTCAACTAGTCAACATAGTATCACTGAAATAACTGTGCTCTGGGAAGTGCTATCTCAGATCTCTCAAATAAAGCATCCAGAATAAGTAATAATTTTGGAAAATCCTGGTGCTAACCCTTTGCCACTTTTCTTCATTATTCAGATCTGTTGGCAATTGTCTTTTCTTTCTCATCTGCTTCATTCCCTGAGAGCAAATAAAAGGTGTATTTTGTTGGGTTGAAAAGACTTGTTAGCTTGGGCAACTGATTTCATATTTTTGTATACAGGAGAAGAACAAGCATGATAACAGGCTAAATTCCACACTCTCAATAAATTAATAATTATTATTAAGTTTTTCTACCTCTTTCATTATTGTGGTCCTTGATTTTACCAGTAGGTAATGAAATAATTAATGTAACAGTGGTATTTTCTTGAGCACAACAGTTAGAAAGATCAAGACGAATATCTCAAATTTTACAAAATATTATAAAAATCAGTATGAAATATTTTTATACTTTGTATCTATCCACATTTCTTCAATTCTTTTATATCTTGTCCTTGACCTGTGAGAGGGGTTTCCTTCAAGTCATGTGTTTGAGCTTACTATTGCTGCATTAGTGTAATCACTTTCAAGTTCTTGTTCATGGGAGATCCTTGCCAGTTGGCTGCAAAGTGGGTACTTGCTAATTGTTATGTCACTTTGATTTTGTAATATTTTGTGAGTGGCGATGTTCTTCCTGTTTAGCAAGATCTTAATCAGACTTACTTACACCAGGCTTAGTTCTCACATTCTTTTTCCTTGGATCTTGTAGAAATGCTGTGATTTTTTCCAATTTTGGCACACAGCTTTGTAGGTGGGTTGCAATCTGTAATACAGTTTCCAGTTATTTGAGGAAGCAATTGTGTTTAAATATGTCAACACTTTCCCTTAAGTGGATCATCTCCACTGCCTCCGTTAGTAGGAAGTATCTAAAGTAACTGATTGTCTTAAACTGATTTGTATTTGCTGGGACCCAAAGTTTTCTTTTAAAAGAAAGCTGAACTTTCCTGCAGATTTTAAATATAGCTATTTGTTTTTGTTTTTGTCATGTTCCTTTCCATTTACCTTTGACTTCTGTTAACGCTGGTGCTGTGCTATGCAGATGTTTCCTGGAATATCTCTTTTACAAAGGATGGACTAATGGGAGTTCTCTTGAAGCACTATTTTCAAAACAGTGTAATAAAAATATTCAACTTCTTGTTCTCTTTATCTGGCCTCATATGCAGTGTCAGTACACAGCCTGAGTACACAAACTGTGAAGACCCTGTAGAACACAGTGTTTGGGTAGAGAGCATACAGCTTTTTACCTAGGACTTTATTTAGTTATCAACAACCTGTGCCTATGTTGCTCTTATTATGCCACATACCAGCTTCTCGTCATTTCAGGCCTGAAGTTTTGGATTATCAAATCATAGCACATTGACATTTTAACCAGAATAGTAACAAGCTGTGTGAAAAATAATCTACTTATGCCCTAGCTGAAACATATTCTGTGCTGACTCAAGCTGACTCTTTGAGCAAGACAGTCACTTCAGCAAATGTCCAGTTTTAATATTTTCATTTTAGCTAGATATACTTTACATCTGCCAAAACACGTACTGAGTTAGTAGGAAACTGTAATTCGCAAACAGAAGTACTATTTATAAATTCTCAAGTAAAATTCAAGAAATATGCTTTTGATGATAGCTTGGAGGAAAGGATGACTTCTGCAAAAGGGATTTAAGGAAAAAAAAAACCCACAGAAGCTTTGTGACATGGAGAAAACATGGATTAAATGTATTGGAGCTGTTGCTAAGAGGAACTGACAGAGTTGCTGAGATAGCTCAATGACCTGAATAAGATAGTAGCGAGAAACAATGTTCTTTGTCTACCTCTACAAGATTTTATCATAAATTATTTTTTTAACTTGGTATATAGAGACTCTCTCCTTAAAATAGACCTCAGATTGCCATGTAGACAATCCTGAGGAATATAAATAGATACCACTAAGTCTCATTAGTTTTATGAAATTGAGAAGAATAGAATCCATGGGTGTGTAGGCTGAAATATTAAATTAAATATTATAGAGTTGTAGTGCAAGAAAAAATACCTGAAACATTTGTGTCTCCAGAAAATATCAGATTGTTATAAAAGGTCATCATTAAATTGTCAAAACATCTTACACTGACCTCTGGACATATAATAATCACTCTTACTCAATGGACAGCGTTTTCATGTATTCATTTACTCCCTCTAAATTCTTTAAAATCCCTGAAGTTTGGAAGCAGCTTCTTTATTAGCTTATGTTCCCAACAAGCTTAAATTGAAACCCCCTATTAAACTCACAAACAGGCCTTCATAGACCTTCTTCTTAATATAACTTCTTAGAAGCTGAACAAATTTTCTAGTTTCCGTCCATTCCAATAACATGTAAAATGAAGTCTATTAAATATATGTTTCTTTAAGAGTCTTTACAGCCTGATATTCTAACATAGAAACCCTTCTTTCATTTCATTCTCAAGTAAATATTACAGGACACAGTCTGTCTTGCTGAAGAACTGTTAAATAGAGAATTACTTTGACAGGGAAACTGCACCAGTTTGGGATGTCCCTGTGTGGCAACGTGTCACTCTTTGCTGTTGTGTAAATCGCAACCCTGGGAGAACAGCACCAGAGCAGAATGGTTCTTGCAGCAGAGCTGCTGAGACCCAGAGCCCGGTGTCTGAGCGTACGCTAGGCTTTGCTGGATGTTCAGTCCTGACTTTCAATGGGAGCAGCCAAGGCACAGGTGGGTTCTGGCAGCTGCTGTGAGAACAGTAACACACAGCACAGGACTGGGCTCAGCCGTGGGAGCAGAGCACGGCAGTAAGGCTTGCTGGGGCTTGTGTTTTAGCTCCCACAAATAGTTTATTTTTTCCTATAAGAAAGGATTCTTACTTGAAACCAAGTTTTCTTCTTCTGTCTGTCATAGACATTTACCCTACTATCAAAATCACATGTTAATGTATATTTCATTGCAATAGCTGAGCCTCCATGTTTTGTATAGCAACAAATATGCGTTGGCTGGGTCTGCCAAATATCTTTCCTCAGCTTCTTCCTTTCTACCTTTTATAGCCAACTCATTCTCATAGGTTTTCTTTTGTACAAAGTCCTATCTTTCCCTCTATGTATCTAAATTATACAATATCCTTCAACTACTATCCTGTTATTCACTTGCCCTGTAATTTCTCTCACATGCATCCAGTCCATAATGCTGCATAGCATTTGCTTGAATACCATGACTAGAATAGGAGCCTGACAGCCCAGTGCATAGGCTGACGATCCCTTAGTCCTGTCCTCTCATTTTGCTTTTTCTTTTCAAAACTCTACTTCACATTTCTCTTGTTTTCATTATATGCACCCAAAAAAGAAAAGAAAGCAGATTTTAGTGTTTGAAGGTTCAACATCCCATTAGTAGAGTTTAGAAAGAAAAGAAGAATCCCACAACACAGAGAAAAAGGAAGTTTACATGGGACCATCTGAAGAAAAAATGTAAGAAGAGGTGTTGAAGAGGGGTACCCTCCTTTAATTCTGAATCCTATTGTACTGACTCTGTGTTACAGCTTTTTTATTTCTGCACAGTGCTTACAACTGTATAGATCACCAGCACCAAACTGTGGAGAATATAACAACAGAAAAAAATCCCGTCCGTCATTTGCATGTGAAAATATTCAGCGTACATTATTTCAAAACACACAGGGAACAATTCTTACAGCCCTGTCTATTAAAGAATGCACAGGAATTAATTTCTATAATCTAATAAATTTGCTGAAAACATGTTGCAGTGAATGCTACCAAAAGCAAGGTGTTTTCTAAAAAAATCACACTCTTCATGGTTCGTGAGAAATTAAGAGCAGGATGGCAAAGCGTGTTTACACAGGCACTTAGCCAGGAAACAGTGTGTTTTCCACAGATACAGTCATTCCGGGAGCACATCTCTGATTTTCATGAGCTCCCTCCCTCTGTTCTCATACCCCTGTAATTATATAGAGAAATCTATCTGTAGGTGAGAAAATTCATACAGTTCTGCACAATGTATTCAAACGCTGCCTCTCTCCTTTAGGTTAGTGCTACCACACTGAGGCCATTTGTAGGAATTATACACAGCAAGATAAATAAATGCAAAGCCCTTAAGGAAACACATGAACTGCAGGCTAGTTTCACAGAGAATCGTTAACAAAAATCTGTGTAAGGAGACTATAAAAGAATTCTCTATAAATCTTCTGCGAAATACAATGTTGCTTATTAGCAGGCTTGATGGAAAACCTCGGGAGACAGAAAGTCTTGTCACTTTTATTTGTACGTGCTTTCCTGCATCTTAAGTTGCAGCTCAGGATCCCTTAGGATCATGTGAGGCTAGGTTATATATTAGAGAGCTGTGCTATAGTGCTGGGAGTGTGTAAGCCCGGCAGCTGGGCAGTGTTATGGTTGCTGCTTTCCTGTGCTAAGCTGATTTACTTGTTTAAGGTCTGACCTCATCATCCTGTCAGTATGGATTCCCACCTATACAGTTAGCAGCAGCTTAGCATCGGCTTGGAGAGCTTGCAGTATACTAATCAGAAGAGAGAGGGAGAGAGCTACCGGTATTTGTTCTTTTGTTGTCTTTTCTTAAGAAGAGGAGTTGAAACACAAGAGATAACAAAGAATCCATTTCCTTTCTAAAAGAATAGGCTTTTGTCTTTTTTTTTTTTTTTTCCCCTCCTGAAAAAAATGTCAGTATCTGGAAAGAAAGAGTTTGATGTGAAGCAGATCCTGAGGCTCCGCTGGAGGTGGTTCAGTCACCCCTCGCAAAGCTCCACAGGCACCGGGGGCTGCCATCAGCAGGAAGGATATGAGCACAGAGGGACACCGGTTCAGAACAGGTTGAAGAACCACTCTCGGGACAGAAATGGGCTGAAGAAAAACAGCAGTCCTGTCCACCACAATATACTGGCACCTGTGCCAGGTCCAACCCCAGTGCACCACCGATCGATTCAAACCTGGCATCAACAAAATCTCATAGAACAGCTTCGATCAAATGAGGATATTCCCAAAACAAGCACAGAGGAAAACCGTGTCAAAGAAGATTCAATTAAAACCACACAGGAGTTGCAGATGACCACAGAAGAAAATTCAGATGAATCTGCAGAGAGGTAGGAGTTTTAAAGTCTGCACTTAGCCATACTCCTGTCCAAGTTATTCCCTAAAACTCTCCTTGTTTTTAGCCAGAGTTCCTTACTGCATTAGTCTCACTTTATATATGTGCATACCCACACTCAAATGAATACGAATATATTCACATTAAAAAAATGAACAGGAGCATTGCCAGGAGATTGTGATCTTTGTTTAAGATACATCATTTTGTAACTATTCCATAAAAATAAAACCTTTCAGTTTGCCAGTTTTCTCTATTGCAGCTTCCAGCATATTAATTTCTTTGTCTTGATTTATTATGTTTAAGTGTGATGAAATAATGAGCCTTCCAAAATATTCTGACTTTATCAATGGGCGTAACTTTGACAAATGGGAACTGCTGGAGGTGCAGTCTGTGTGGTTGCCATCGGTCTGTCAAATTTCTCATTGCCTTTTTTTACTGCCTTCTTGACAACTATAATTAACCTTGAGCTAAGTGGAAAGGAAGCATCATTACTTGCTTTTTTAAAAGGATTATTTGAAATCACATTACTTTCACAGCTGGTTTAGTATACTAAGAGACAAACACTTTCTGCAAGGTCACGTGAAAAAACATTACAGCTATGAGACCTTAAAGGTGTAAGCACAAAGGAAGAGCTATTTTAAAGATGTTAATACAGAGAAGAAAATATTAATAAAAGTGATTTGATTAATTATGCCTTTTAATTTTTCTTTTTTCTTTTTTTTCAAAATTGATGCCAGTATTATTAGCTTATACAGCAACAATTTCACCCCACCTTTACTCCACCTTGTACTCAAATTATGCATTTATATTGTGATTATTTGCACCATTTGATAAGATTGCCATCAGTCTTTGGGAATAATTTACATTTCTTACATGGTATTTAAATACAAACCTATCTTACAGTAAAAACAAAGCTGTATTTTTAGCAGTGACTATTTCTCAAGTTGTACATCTGGTATAGAGAGCACCTGCAGACTGAACAGATAAAAAATGTATTCCAAAATGTCATTTTGAAACCAGTCCTGGTAGACAATGTGTACTACAAAAAAATAATTACAGAATAAAATCTGTGAGGTAGGAATGTGGTGGTTCTGTATGTGTACTAGTACTAGTGTACTAGTTTGTCTTGTGTAAGTAACATACTCTTAGCATAACTTGTTTTGAATGATAGTATGAATTTCCTGGTGGGGAGGGAAGTAGTTTTAGGCACACCTTCAAAAGAAAGTCATTTTAATTGGATGAAAAATAAGGAACATGAATAATCAAAATAAGATTCTATATCAGGTGAAGAAGAAGGTAAAAAAAGCATAAGTAATTCAGTTTGGAAGGTAATATGCCACTGTCTTCTAAAATAAGATGTGACATTTTCTCCAGCTATATATAAACTTTCTGCTAAGACCTCATGAAGTTTTGTACCTTCATATTAATTCAAATTTAAGTTCTTCTCCTGAGCTGTTTAAATTTGCTGCTTTTAGAAAAGTTTTTGGAGTGTCTATAACTTATAAAGTGCTGTTGTGTTCAAAGAAGTGTATTTTCTGTAAATTTATCAGTAAAATCTTTCTATGCATGTTGTAGGCTAAAACCTACCTTAACATACACCTTAAAAGGCTGAATGTGTAAGAAATTTTTCAGAAAAGTGATTCATGATAGTAAGTTTCTATATAAAGTAGGAGATTAAGTGAGCTCTGAAACAATGCATGGTAAATAAACTGTGAATTGTTTCTAGTTCTGAAGGCATGGTTGTGGAATTTTTGTGCACTTTAGCTAGCTGATGATCATCTCTGATCTCCTCTAACTCTGGAATCTGTTGAGATTCAGGCTCCTCTGTCAGGGAGACCTTGAAGCAGTTCCATTTCTTTCAAATAAAGTGACCTACCAGTGGTCCAGAGAAATAAGAAAAAACTTGTAGGATTTGATTGCAAAATTTTGTTTGATGGTTGTTAAACTGAAAAAGCACTGGTACCTCCTAATAAGAAGAATCCATGATATTGAATTACCTTGATTACTTCCCTTGATAAAGTTTGGACTCACAGATATGACTATTGAACTTTCAATAGAAGCACTATGCCTAGGATTTATTAACATTATGCTACACTGCTACATCAATTTGTGCATGTTTGCTGGGAGACATACTATGATTCTATATGAATACTATTGAAGACCATATGTGCTGGTTAAGTACATGTGTACCTTTTTTCCTAGTTGCCCAAAGGCAGTTATATTTTGATCATGAATGTAGCATCCATTCATAATTTTTTCCAATTACATAGCTGAAAAATTACTGACAAACCCTAGTTTTGCTAAAGATACATGCTTTATAATTTCTCATGTGAGGCAAAATATACTTCTAATTAATTTTAGCAGAGTCTTTTGATGTCATAATCCAAGCAGTCAGTACTGATGTACATGGAAACAGAGATTCAGGAGGAGTATCCTCTTGAGGCAATGCATTTTCCGTAGTGACTATTTATGATGTTCAATTATTTTGATAGTTCATCTTAAGACATGAAAACTCATCTAATTGTCTTTTTTGTTTTTTCTTGTCAGCCATATGGAAGTAACTAATAGACCATTTCCCTTACCATCTCTGACATATACATATATGCACACACATATACATGTCTATTTTGGATATTATCCCCTATATGAGGGTTTTCCCTGGAGTTCTATTTTTATTTCCAGTAGCAGATAACAGCCTTGGCTCACACAAGGAAAAAAATACCCCTTTAATTGTTGCAGCATCCCAGAAGATATTGAACAGGTGGAAATGAATAAATTAGTGTGCAGTGCCCGACCCCAATTTCCTGCCCATATGATGCCATTTTTTTGGTTAGTTAACGTGGCACAAGAACAAGGACACAGGCTGTCATGTTTCCTTCTGCTGAGTACTTTTTTGGGGAGAGTCATTACACTACACATTCATCATGTCCTCTAAATTTTGTAACAGATACTCACTGGAATTATTTCTGCTTAATTTTCCAATATGAAAGATTACTTTAAAAAAAAAAATCCAAACCCAAAACAGGTTATAATTTTCCTGGTAGAAGTGGAACATATGAATTATTCTATGAAATCACTGGTCAAACCAGATTGTGAGGATTTTTGGCATTAAGAGTACAGTTCTGGGTGGTATCCAAATAAGCAGAGTCCTACCAGTGATTCATGAGAATGACTGATAATGAATGACAATGCACCTAGTGAAAGGAAGGACTATGATGTCTCCTTTGCAGAGAAGATGCAAAGGATCCATCATAGCATGAACTTAGTACTATCTTATATGAGACTGTCAAAGAATATTCTGATGTCCAAGATATAACTGACAACTACTTCATTTCTGTTCTCCATAATGCCTACTACAACCTATTAATGAAGGGCTTCACTTTATTTTGACATGTTATTCTTGCCAAATCCTTGCTGACTGTCTCCTCTTTTAAGTGCTTAAAAATAATGATTTTATTACTTTTACACTGCAGAATTTGGCAAGAAGTAAGAGCTAGGAAATTAAACTATCTTTAATTCTTATAACAACTTAATATGTATTGAGCAGTGTATTTTAAAGTGATTATTTTATGCCAGTCTGTTATGGATAGCCAAAATACTATCTCAGGGACAAGCAAAAACTAATTGTCTTCTAAAGATGACCTTTAACTAAAGGTCAAAATACGAATTTGAAATTGGAGACATTTGAAATAGGTTATTTAAGACATAGTAGCTGATCTCTCAGAAGTGATGCTTGAACAGCTCATGTGGCCTTTCAAAGCTTTAGCACAGGCGAAGAGCAGTTTGCAGCAGGGGAGCGAGGGTGACATTCCTGGCAATGGTGGTTGATGAACACCCCATTGGCATCACTGAGACACTGCATCTGCTAGTGCCAGAGATTACTTTAGTTTTACCTATGAACGTGTAACACACGAGATAATTAGTGACATTAAGCTGAATTTTAATAGCATTTTACTAAAATTCACTCACAACTGGTTGAAAATAGGTGAGAGTAACAGAAAATTTTCCTTTAGTATCTACTATTTGCTAAGTGCAGAACATTTGCCAAGTTACAGTAAATGGCATCTGAAGCAGGATTAAAATCTAAGGGCAGATTTACCTTTTATCCACAAGTTGATAATTCACAACGACTTTTTAGGCAACGTGCAAACATAATGAACAGTGACCCATGAAGTCACTCTGACTAAACAAATGCTGTTGCCTCATACAAGAGCTCTTGGTACAGAAGTTAGAGTCAATATGTTTCAATGGCATCCTCAGCAGATTTTATTTCTAGTTTCTCCTTCCTCCTTCTATTATGACATCTTATGAGGAATTTGAAAAGGTAAAAAGTATGTGAAATTAAAGTGGGTTGAAACAGTTATTAAAAAATAAAGGAAGAAGTAGGTTTGTATTTTGAAATTAAATTTATATTTAGCCTGTTGAAGGAGGGGGATATTTATTAAAAAGATTTTTTTCACAGCTACATGAACAGAATCATAGAATAATTGAAGCTGAAAAGGACATCTGGATGTCATGAAGTCTGACCCTGTCTCCCCATGCCCCACCAAGGCAGCTATAAGAAATAATATGATTTACTAAAACCACACAATATTTTACAGGCTTATATTTAACATGCAGAGCTTTCAAATATGAATTATTACAGGCAAGGGAAAAAATCATTTTATAGTAATTTAAGAAACTAGAACAATTCTATTAATTTCAAAACAATTTCTTTATGATTCAATTATCTTCTCATTTCCACTCCATACAGCTTGCTCTCAGCAAAGACAGCTGTTAAATTACTTTTTAAAGAGTATTACTGTTCCTAAAAATCACTTAATGTCTCCAGAAAAAGTTAAAGAGATGATTAAACACATGCGACCGATGCAGAGCAGTTTTTACAGACATACTGAGCATATGCAATTGTACAATCAACAGGAAATTTGTCTGCTTGTTGATGCATTCTTGGAAAAGGGGGAGACAGTTTGCTTGATTTGAAACTTATAGCTAGAC